CAGAGCCTTTACCCTAAATACAGTGTGAAGGCTTGATTTTCTTCCACACACTCATTGCCTCCTGTCGAGTGAGTTCCATAGTTCCGTAGTACTTTATTTTATCTGACTTGAATCTTTCAATATTCATCTTCATTGAATGTCCCCTTGAATATGCTTGATTTGACTCAGGCCTTGGCTGAATCTGGTGGACAACCTTACTAAATTGCAAGGCTGCCAAAAGTGAAAATCAAGACAGAGTTGTTGAGTTTTTTCTTTTTCTTTTTGCCTGAAGTTGTGGAGATTGTTGTTGTTGTTGTGTTTTAGGGAAACCCAAGTTGTTGGCCTTTTTTAGTAAAAGCTACAAGAATTTTTGAGTTTTGGATCTTTTTTAAAATAAAATTTTAACCCCCTATGCCTATATTCCAGGACATTTGCCCGATTACGAAAGATAATCCAAGGCACCATTTTCAGAGGTGAATTCCAGGACATGTCCTGGAAAATCAGGACATATGGCAGCCCATGGGGTGGGGTGGGGTGGGAAGAATGTTTCACCGTCTCCCCATATTCTGTGGTACAAATGAAAATCCTTCTTCTAATATTTGTAGTTGAGGAAAGGTGGGCTGTCCACTTGGCTGCAGAATGATATTAGGATTCCAGATGTCTGAAAGCTAAGTTGCTATTCTACTTCCTGCTCAAAGTAGAACAGCAATGATTAGGTGCTTCTAAATCACCCACGTCTGGAAGCTCCCTTAGATCTACCCCAACACCTTATCACATCTATTTCTTATGAGGAAAATAGAACCAATGCTATATTACTCTTCAAAGCAACTGCTATTGCTTTTACAGCCTACCTCCTTTAATTGTTCGACAAAGTTAATTATTATTTTCTGCATAGTTCATCCACCCTCATATTATTGCTTTACAATGGAATGCTGCCTTTGTTGTTCCCTCTGGCAGACTTTCACATTTGGACGGCAGTTCTGAGCTTCTTGTATGAGAAGTTTTACATTTTTCTTTTATTTTTCAGTGCGGAAATACTGCCAAATGAAAATCAGCAATTCTCTCTGCCCGCCACCCAATTGTTCTGAGCTGGCAGGTATGAGTCAGCCAGGAAGTCTAAAAACCAATTGTCTATGGGCCTTCCTGTGGCTATCTAAATTAGTATTTTCTCCCCTCTTTCGAGATGGTGAGCTTTCTAAAATAGCAATAGCATTCATCAAATCTGAATAGCTATCCAAACATAAGAGTGTCATATAAAATGCCTGTGATACACCGGCCAAAACATGCAATATTTATTGTTTAAAGAAAACAGTCAAGACACGATGATCTACTCCCTCTTTACTGAGGAGAAACTGATGGCAGAGTAGGCAGCTCTAAGCCAGTTATATACTTTAGCCTTTTGGGTGTGTGAAGGGGAGGTCTTTGGAGATGAGATTGGTTCAAATATTGCAGGGCAGACGAAGTCTTTTCATGGTGGAACAGTGGGCACACAAACTTTCTTTCACCATGATTATGTGATAATGAACCATTGAGATCCTCAGCGGCTAATCAGCCATTGTGCACAAGCCTTCCCCTCAAAATAGTAAAGGTAAAGGGACCCCTGACCATTAGGTCCAGTCGCGGACGACTCTGGGGTTGTGGCGCTCATCTCGCTTTACTGACCGAAGGAGCCAACATACAGCTTCCGGGTCATGTGGCCAGCATGACTAAGCCGCTTCTGGCAAACCAGAGCAGCGCACGGAAACACTGTTTACCTTCCCCGCCAGAGCAGTACCTATTTATCTACTTGCACTCTGAAGTGCTTTCGAACTGCTAGGTGAGCAGGAGCAGGGACCGAGCAACGGGAGCTCACCCCGTTGCGGGGATTTGAACCGCCGACCTTCTGATCAGCAAGTCCTAGGCTCTGTGGTTTAACCCACAGCGCCACCTGCGTCCCATATGTGTGTGTGTTTTGTGCATCCATGCTTTGTTTAATCTTGCCCCTTGCTAAAATATATTTATTGGTGTGTGTTTTTCTTTTTGTAAATCTCTGGGATTAAGAGATGGGGCAGGAGCTGGGACTGAGCAACGGGAACTCACCCCGCCGCGGGGATTCAAACCGCCAACCTTGTGATTGGCAAGCCCAAGAGACTCAGTGGTTTAGACCATTGTGAGCCTAAGGTGATGTGCAGCATAATTTCCATCCTGATTCCATAGACACAAATCTATCAATTAAACCAGAGCTTTCCAAACTGTGTCGCGACACATGTTTTGGCTGCGTTGTGTAGGTATGTCATGCGAATGCTCCCCACACTCCTCCAGGGGGCTAGAAAGGGGTTAGTTTAACTTCTGGTTTGCTACTAAAGCTGAATTGCTATGTCACGAAATGATGCATGTCTAAAAAAGTGCGTCACCAGTATGAAAAGTTTGGAAAGCTCTGAGTTAAATAATCAGTTTGGTAAACTCTGAGTGAATAGGTTTGCGGTTATGAATATCTGGCCGCAGCTTTAAACCCTCATTCAGGTTATGACACCTGGAATCAGCTGTGTTTTGTGTTAACACAGTAGCATAATCAGGGAAGACCCTCATATAGAGCTTTTCCTTGCTTCCTGAGAGCTTCCTTATACACGCTTGATGCTATATTAAAAGCATTCTTTGTAGAGGAGTTAAAATATTCCCTCTCAATGCAGGTTTAAATTCAGCAGTTGTTCAAAGGTTATTTCTCCTTCAAGAAGAGATTACCTCTGTTGATTTTTTTTGTGTGTGGGGGGGTTAGAAATGTATTTATTTGTTCATTTGCAGCTGACGGAAGAGTGGATAAGAAGCAGCAATCAAAATAGCTATGCTTAGGAAGAGGCAATTGCCCTGAAACCACTTGGGCTTTGTGAGTGGCTCAATCAAACTCTTGAAGAAGCTGCATGGAGCGTCTGCTTCTTATTTCTTCCTGTTCCTCTACACCCAGGACTAAAAACAAATGCATGTTACCTTGGTGCTTCCCAAGAAAGTACCATCTTTTATTGCTGGGGATTATGCCTTGACTAGGGACGCAGGTGGTGCTGTGGGTTAAACCACAGAGCCTAGGACTTGCTGATCAGAAGGTCGGCGGTTCGAATCCCCGCGACGGGATGAGCTCCCGTTGCTCAGTCCCAGCTCCTGCCAACCTAGCAGTTCGAAAGCACGTCAAAATGCAAGTAGATAAATAGATCCAGCAGGAAGGTAAACGGCGTTTCCGTGAGCTACTCTGGTTCGCCAGAAGCGGCTGGCCACATGACCCGGAAGCTGTATGCTGGCTCCCTCAGCCAATAAAGCGAAATGAGGGCTGCAACCCCAGAGTCAGCCATGACTGGACCTAATGGTTAGGGGTCCCTTTACTCTTTACGTATGCCTTGACTATGCCCCATAATCCCACTGGGAATGAACACTCCCATGATCCTTTGCGGATCCAGATAAGGAAAGCACACCTTTAGTTAACTTTTTATTGGCAAGCGAAACACTTACAGCTGCTTCCAGGGTGCTCCGGATACTATAGTTGCCATGTGTCCTCTTTTTCCAGGACATGTCCTCTTTTTCAGGGGTAAAATTTCTGCCCGGGTGGATTTTTAAAATTTGCTAAAATGTCTCTGCCTATGCTTTCTGGATGATACATGACTGGTGGCTGAAGACTTGCTCTCCTCTTCTCTTCTCCTGCCCCCCTCAGCAATATATCACAATATACCACAACTTCTAGAGCCTATATTGAGTAGGGGTATTAAAATGAGAGCCGTCATAGCATCCTCTTTTTTGCGCTTCAAAATATGGCAGCCCTGGGATACACACTCACACACTTCTAGCTCAATTGCACCAACATGGGCTCCTCTCCATGTTCTTGGGGCTTCATAGCCTCCATGGCAGCCTTGGGGCTGTCTCAAGTTGTCATTGGTCCCACTCCAGCTTTGTCCATTGGAAAATCTCCCTGAATATCCAGGAATTCATGAGGTCCCATTACTCTGCAGGCGTGGACCATAAACAAGTTCACAACTCTTTTGTTGTTGTTTAGTTGTTTAGTCGTGTCTGACTCTTCGTGACCCCATGGACCAGAGCACGCCAGGCACTCCTGTCTTCCACTGCCTCCCGCAGTTTGGTCAAACTCATGCTGGTAGCTTCGAGAACACTGTCAAACCATCTCGTCCTCTGTCGTCCCCTTCTTCTTGTGCCCTCCATCTTTCCCAACATCAGGGTCTTTTCCAGGGAGTCTTCTCTTCTCATGAGGTGGCCAAATTATTGGAGCCTCAGCGTCACGATCTGTCCTTCCAGTGAGCACTCAGGGCTGATTTCCTTCAGAATGGATAGGTTTGATCTTCTTCTAGTCCATGGGACTCTCAAGAGTCTCCTCCAACACCATAATTCAAAACTCTAGTCAGGGGTAAACAGTCACTATATGCCCAAAGCTCTTCAGGAAGTCGTCTGTCCATAATCACGGGGTCACACACCTCCATCTCTGGTTCATCCCTTTTGAGGCCTGGACCAAGCCCAAATTGACTATACATTAAAGAGTGTCTCACTCCCTATAGGGTGGATAGATCACTGGGATAATAAGGTTGAGTGTTTGGAGTTGCCTCGTGCCCCCAAAATCCAACTCTACTCAGAAGAGAGCATTCAGCAGAGCACTCCCTGCATGACAGAACATCTTCTCTGTGGAAGTGTGGTTTGGATACCGACATTGTATGGATTTTGGCCTGTCATGAAAACATTCTTATTTCGCCAAGCATTTCCACGGCATTAATTTTATCTAGTCACTTTGATTACTCTGCCATTTAATTTACGGTGCAAGCTATTCTGTGTTTTATTTTGCGGTAAATCAGTTAGATCTATGATTATGGGTGATTCACAAATATTTTAAATGAATAAACACATTGCAGTTAATGAGTGGGATCTGTGCAAGAGCACAACAGTCGCCTCCCCCCCCCCATCTTATTTTGTGCACCAGCCAGGCACATTTCCCCATGTCCTACAGGCTGTTAGGACATTCACCGCTGGTTTCCCTTTTAGGGCATCATCTTTTCCCTCTTTTAAAAATGTGTTTTAATACTTCATGGGAAGTATTTATTGCATTGTATTGCACTCTTCAAGAGCCCCGAGCACTAATTGTACTTCATCGTGTTCTGCGAAAGGCCCCCCCAGGTCATCATTGTCAGCAAGTCTCATTCATCATCTGTGCCATAAACAGTACTGTTGGGTGAAGGCTCGGCTCTCTTTGTCACTGATGAACTTTCCACATGTTTCCAGTGCACATGCCCCACTGAGCAGCCTCTTCATCAGCAGAAACAGGAGCTGTGCCAAAAAACAAATCCATTCAATTTTGCTGTTATTAGGGGCCAGGTGTCCTTTTCTGGATGTCCTTATAAGTGTTCCAGGGAAACATTTCTGTGTGGAATTCAACGTTGCCTGCAGTGCAAGCATTTCAGCCTCCCAGACGGAATGATCTCAGCACTCCCTTCCCTGCACTGTTCCGGGGGTTCTCCCACCCACCCGACACTAATTTCAGATGGGGGCATGTGGGGAAGGGGTAGTAAAAGCCCCATTGCACAAACAGATATCTTTACACATGCCTTCTGCTGATGGGGCTCAAAGTGAATCCTTCTCTCTATTTCTTATTTTTTCTTTCACCCATGGCTTACACACTATAGGTAGCTGTTTCCTCAAAGCATGGTGTTTTCAGACTTCGGGGAAATATTCAGAGGTACGCAAACGAAGGGGGCAGGCCCAGTAGCGACTGGTCGGGTGGCATGGATGGGGTTGCATTGCTGATCTGGCTTTGCAAGACTGATGTCAGGGACTGGACTGAGGGGGACAAGACTGAGGAGGAATGGTGGAGACTGCCCCCCAAACCTTCCAGAGAAGAAGAAGGCAGTATTGAATTACAGCAGTGGTTTGAGGAAGCTCACAGCTCAGAGACAGGTGAACAGATGAGTTGGGAAGAGAAAAGGGGGAGACAAAGGCAGAGCAGCCAGCTGACACATTATCACTGGAGAGCATTTCTGACCCCCCTTCTCCCAGAACCTAGCATGCATTGAAAGTGGAAGAGCAAAGGCCACAGAGACAATTAACCCTGATGGCCACCATAAAGGGAAGTGCTGTTGCTAGGAAGGGAGGGGGGAGGAGCTCAGTTGGAGCAACGCCATTAATCTAAGAGGCGGAGTACATGATCCTCTTGCTGTGAATTACTGAATAAAGACTCGATAAGAACTTCCTCGCCTACTTCCTTGGATGTCTGCCGTGAGAGGGGAGAGGATCGGAATTCACTGAAGCCTGACAACTATGCATTGCGGCTGATTACCAAGAGGGAGGGTACAAGGAGAAGGGGACGACAGAGGACAAGATGGCTGTACAGTGTTCTTGAAGCTACGAACATGAGTTTGACCAAGCTGCAGGGGGCAGTGGAAGACAGGAGTGCCTGGCGTGCTCTGGTCCAGGGGGTCACGAAGAGTCGGACACGACTAAACAACAACCAAGAGGGAGAGGGACAAAATACATGTTTAACCTTATACCAATGGGAATCCCAAATCATTACTGGTGATCCTTTATACAGATCCTACTATTTTGCTTCCTGACTTATTTGTGTATGGTTGTCAAAACCTGCTCTCCATCTTTGACTCTGAATCGTCCACTCACTCATTGGCAAGGACCCTACAGAGGATACATCATAAGACACAGATACAAGATAGGCTAGCATTGGAACTAGGTTTCTGGAGACAGTGGCTCTCCAGATATCGGTGGGCTCCAATTCCCATCAGTCCCAGCCAACATGGCCAACAGTCAGGAATGATGATGATATGATGATGATTTATTGAATTTAAATTTCCAATACCCAGAGGTGTCAGGGTGGTTCACAGAACAAAATCAAAATATGAAACGAAAATACATAATCAAAATAAAAACAACAACCCAATAGCCACATTTTAAAAGGGCATAGGATGTCGATCAAAGGCCTGGTTGAAAAGAAACATTTTTGCCTGGCTCCTAAAGGTGTATAATGAAGGCGCCAGGCGGACTTCCCTGGGGAGAGCATTGCATAGATGGGGAGCTACTACAGAGAAGGCTCGTTCTCATGTTGCCACCCTCCAGACCTCTCGAGGAGGAGGCACACGAAGGAGGGCCTGAAAAGATGATATCAGGGACTGGGTAGGTTCATATGGGAAGAGGCGGTCCTTGAGGTATTGCAGTCCTGAGCTGTTTAAAGCTTTATGGGTCAAAACCAGCACTGGCGTAAGATGCTCAAACTGTCTTGCTCCAGTGGAAGCTGCAGTCTAACAACTGGAGAGCTACATTGTCTTCACTCTAGCTGGGTAACACAAGGACGTACATTATAAACTGAAGGAGATAGGGATGAGGAGCACAGTTACCCAGATAGAAGGGCAGGCTCTGCAGCAGGTGTCTGCAGGTGAATAGTTCTCTTCCAGTGATGACATTGCCCCAGGAAGGAGAAAGCTGCCATTGATACCACTGCTCCCTCATACTCCTTGCAGTGTTCCACTTGCATTTCATGAGCAAGAGACTATGCAAGGTTTCTGCTGCAGCAGCAGGCAAGGCTGCCAGGTTTGGGAGAAGAATGGAGCTCTCTAGCCTAGGGATGGCCAAATCTGTCATTTTCAGTTCTCCCCAGCTTCTTCTCCTTCCAGTCATTCACATCAGCCAGTGATTTTTTAAATAATAATAAAAAAATAACCAGCATTTCCATGCACATTTTTGCTTGTTATTTTCACGGACTCTTGCACTTTTAAAATGCACGCTTTATCCCCGTATATGCATTTGTGTATGTATTATTTGGCTTATGTGGCATTGCAAATTTCAAATAAGTGCAAATTTGGAAGGATGGCTGCCTTGCGGCTCTCGTATTGTTTCAGAAAGCGCAAATTAGGGAGCTTCGCCTTGAGATGCGAAGCAAATTGAACCCAAAGTTGCAAAGGAGCACATGGAAGCTTGGGTAAATGTGTTGCCTTGTTTAGAGTTGTGCCGTTCAGCCCAGATAATAAAGGGGGAGGCCGAAGCATCAACATGACCCTCTCCACTTTCTAGCAAAACACTTGGAGCAATCTTTGCAGAAAGGTTAAATAACATCAGACAAATACTCTGTAATTTGGACTCAGCTGGTAACTTTCTCTGCTTCAGCTTATGCTGCCTGGGCTGATAGCGTCCATGTAATTTCTTCTGACAAAAAATTGCTACCCTTTGAGTTGATCCTTGTAACTGAAATCTATTTCCTCCACCTCAGCCGTTAACCACCACAACAACAAACCAGGCACAATACACTACTTTCCCAGGTGGGTAAGTTGTAATTTTAGTGCTGAGAGTGCACTGAGAGTATCTTCTCGGGATAGCATACTTTTGTCTAAGTTGTATGAGCAGGGTACTCATAGGTTCCCCTCTTCCTGCCGAGTCACTTTTCAAAAAACTGAAAGTCGGAATTCAGAAAAGTAATGTTCCATTTTATGACCTTGTTGACACATTGTGGTTGCAGGTGTGCAGTTCTTAAGTCTCCCTTAAATACAAAGCAGCGCTGCAATTGTAGAATGGTAACCAATCACCTGCCATCACACTGATAAGGGTGATGTTACTCCCAATTCCTCTTGTATAAAAATGCAGGTCATGGAGATGACAAAAACATAGGGTTTCTGGTCAGATGCTTTCAAGATGATCTTAACTCATAGGCTTTCAGTTGCCGTTTTGTTTTTAAATTTGTGTGCATTTAAAAGTATCACCGTAGGCAAATGTTGGTTGCTACTGAAGGGGGAAGGAATGGGTTCTGTGCAGTCAGTCTGAAATGGGACCCAAAATCCTCATTTTTCCTTCTCCAAGGGAGCATTTCTAAAATGCATTAACTTAAGCTCTTGAATCAATGTATAAACAGAAACCCAGCTGTATAAACAAGTGCTCAAAGCCCTCTCCTTTATCAGTCCGTGACGGCAATGGATGACCTTGCCAGTTCCATGGAGCAGGGATGGCACGTCTGAGTCTTATCTTACATCCTGACCACAAAAAGACGCACAGACCTTGTCAGGTCTGACAAGAGACCCGGGAACGGTGCCAGGAGTGTTCTTAGAGTTGGTGACCTCCTGCCCCAAGATAAGAGTATAGGAACAGGAACAACCTTTTATGGTCAAGAGTACCGGAACAGGAATATCTGTTTATGGTCATGGATGTCAGCTTGCGTATATGAGCTGACGTGGTTGGATTCCTGGGGAAGGGGGGAGAGGGTGCCTGGAGGATATATATACTGCATGAAATTTCTCATTTCTTTGGACTTGCTGTGAACTGACCACGCAAGTGCCTTCTGCTATCCGGAGAGCAGAATAAACTCTTTCTCTGAATCAACCTTGGTGTCATTTGACTCCTTCCTCCCTGTTCTGGGAGCAACACTCACCCTACCATCGGTAAAGTCTAATAAGGCTACACTACTGCTCTCAGGAGAGATGCTTGGGGTTCTTCTTGGGTGTTTTCTGGCTGTTCCCTCATTTTGAATTTATTTTAATGTCTTCCACCCACGAGCATTTTATTTGTCACCAGGTGTCATGATGGTATCAGCTGTAATAAATGGCAGTCCATAGAATTCACATGTAGAGGTCTATAATCCCAAATGGTGCTACCTAATCAAGGAAAGAAAAGCACTTTATATGCAATGGTGTCACACATTCATGTAAAATGTCTGAATAGAACATCACGGCTCCATCACACTTAATGAACACCCACTGGTTGATTTGACTGTGCTGATCTTTAATCTTAACCTGAAAATTCATTCCTCCCTTGCTCTTTTTTATCTGCACTGTCATGTGATACGAGATCGCATTTATTCCATTTATTTATAAATATATTTACTTATTTATAGTCTCCAGCAGGCCATGGGAAATGTGCAAACAACGACTGAATTTTGTACATTCTCTGGCCATCATGCATAATCCCCAACAGGCATCGCAGAATGTGCATATCTCGGCTGAATTCCGTACATTTAATTTTGATGGGAGAAAGTGGAGTGGTAAACAGCAAGAGGTGCAAAAGATTATTCTAATAAGCTGTGCCGAGCTAAATCCCTGCAAGTTTCTAACTGAACAGTTCAGTAGCCAAGGCTAGCCAAGTTTGCAAACTGTGGCTTTTGAGCAAACAGCAAACAAGAACGGAATCTTTAATAGTTAAACAGATACAATTTCCTCCGAAGAACAATTTGAAACGTACAGGGATTTAGCTTGGTGCTGCTTATTAAAATCATATTTTGCAGCAGTGTGTTCTGTTCTGTTCTGTTCTGTTCTCCCATAGCGTTGCTGTGGCCTGCTTTACACTTGCCAACTATTTATAGGACCATATTCCTGACCACACTCTTCGGGCAGATGCAAACCTTCACGTATCCACTCTAAATAAACAGGCAGGTTAGAGCCGAGTGAGTTGTGGAGCTGCATTTTGTCGGATGCTTCTGAGATGTGTTTTCTCTAAATGACCGTTAGTCCCTTGAGCATTGCAGCGCGAGGCAAGTCTTTTCCTCTTTGCTTGCATTTCTGGCTAAAGCATCCCTTTATCATTCCTTCCTGATATAGAACGTTTTCTTTCAGTTGTAAATATTGCATGAAGGCATGAAATATGAGGAAAGAGGCAAAGAGAAACCAAAGCCACCTCTGCAAACGCAAACCCGAAATGGAGTCTGCTTGTCTGGCTTCCTTTATTATGGTCAGTGGAACACGGCCATCCTACACAGGTATCGATTATTTCTGCTCTTGAAGCTGGAGAGATCATAGCTGCTGGAAATGTATGTGCTGTGTAGCAGATCTCGGTTAATTCCAGGGTTTATAAGGTGCTCTATGTCATCATCATCACCACCTGTCAGTTCCCCCCTGTTAAGTGCTGCAATCCCATCTAATGGTAGGGCCAGTCCTGCCTCTGGCTTTACCTTTGCTTGTCGACCCTTGTCAGCCTGAACTGGAGCCTGATCTTTAGCCTGTGTCAGGGACTGGCTGGACAGGGAGGAATGGTGGGAGGTCCTAGCCAGAGAACCCCCTGTGGAAGCATCAGAAGCGGAAGGCTCAGACTCAGGAGAGTGGTGGTGGGTCACTTAAGATAGGGCAGAAGATGAAGGATGGTTTGATGCTGAGCCACAAGAGGCTTGAGTGAGAGAGAGGTGCAATCTACACACATATAAAGAACGCTGTGAGAATGCTTTTTATTAAAAGAAACGTTTTGAAAAATACATTGCATTTGGCATAGCTCACCATCGCCATCTGGTGTCACATTTGTATATTTACAACACATTTAAACGCTTTATTTGGAGCTGTATAGCTGAGTCCAGAGAGGAAAAAGAAGCAGCTGAAGAGGAGGTAGTCTCAGAGACTGGGCAGAGGAGGAATGGTGGAGACAGCCTCTCCATCCTGATCCTTCCAGGGAGGAGGAAGAGGAAGACAATGTAGATTTACAACAGGGGTTTGGGGGAGGTCGCAGCTCAGAGGCAGAGGAGGGGGAAAGTTGGGAAATCATGGGAGAGCCAGAGCAGCAGCTGGCTGACATGTTGTTGCAAGAAAGCATTCCAGACCTACCATCTCCCAGAACCCGGCGAGCCTTAAAAGTAGGAGAGCAAAGAGCTCAAAGACAGAGGGCATGTATCAGCACCCGTAGAAGTAATAGATGAGCAAGTGGGAGAGATGGAGGGTGGAGATTCACTCAGGACAACACCATTATCCAAGAGGCTGGGTTCTATAGCCTCTCTCTGTAAAGTTTGACATAAAAAAGAACTGTATGAAACTTTTCCTTGTTTATACTTTCCTGGGCAATTAGCCAGGATCCGCTGACAACACCCTAACAGCAGAGAGCAATAGCCATTCAAATTACATACCTTCCAACCTTTCTTGAGAAAGGAAATGTGGTTGTATGAATCAGTCCCAAATTCACACATAAAGTTGATTATTTAATGGGTACAGGGTTACAAATGTATATTTATTGGCCTCAGCTTGATGGGTTACAAACTGGAAAACTAATCTAAAACTTTCCCCCAATAGTAAAAGTTAATATATCCCCCAAATAAAACTATTCATGACCTGTTATGGAGATCCATCTTGACAGTGCTGAGATGCAGTCTGACTGTTAACTGTTTTGAACTTTACCAAGACTTCAAGCATATCCCCTTTGTGACATCACACATCAGAATGTCATGTTTGCATTCAACCTAGACTATCTCCATGCCAACAGCAATGGCCAGTAAACTTCTGCAACCAAGTAACCATCAGCCTGACTACCCAGTTACTTCTATCTCGACTATTAGATGTTTAATTTTTGCTCTCATAATCAAAGCCTGGGGAAGAGCTGTGCATAATCTGGAAACCTAAACAGCCTCGGCCCAGTATACCTGAAGGAGCGTCTCCACCTCCATCGCTCAGCCCAGACACTGAGGTCCAGCTCCAAGGGCCTTCTGGCAGTTCCCTCCCTACGAGAAGTGAAGTTACAGGGAACCAGGCAGAGGGCCTTCTTGGTAGTGGCACCCACCCTGTGGAACGCCCTCCCATCAGATGTCAAACAGATAAACTACTATTTGACTTTTAGAAGACATCTGAAGGTAGCCCTCTATAGGGAAGCCTTTTAATGTGTAATGTTTTATTATGTTTTTATATATGTTAGAAGCCACCCACAGTGGGTGGGGCAACCCAGTCAGATGGGCGGTGTACAACTAATAAAATTTATTGTTGTTGTTGTTTGTTAGACTCTTGCTTAGCTAGGGCAGGAATGCACTGGCTGTGCACAAGCAATGCAGCAGCCTGCCATTGGGACATATCCGACTGCCTTTGAACTTTCCCGGGGCAACTGATGGGACCCAAAGGATGGTTCTGTAAACTGCATTTCCATTTTTGACAGATCTGCTGAACCTACCACGGTTGCTTCAAGAATGGTGGTTAAAGAGATCAGCTTCCCCTGAGTGCTTGACAACAATGGCTTCCTGCTTCAAAGTGCCTAATATGAGGAATACATTGAATGGGTTTATACTGGGACAGCATGCTAAGCGTGTCAGGAAAATGCTGGCAAAATGAGCAATTCCTTACCATATCGGCTTATGAACCTGAACTAGTCTCAGTTTAAATTGTGAACAGAGGAAGAATTTCAGGGAAAAGGAGCTCACGTTTTAAGACACCTGAGCATGATGAGCTAGGAAAACACACATATATTATTATTACTACTACTACTACTACTACTACTACTAATAATAATAATTTTATTTATACCCCGCCCATCTGGCTGGGCCTCCCCAGCCACTCTGGACGGCTCCCAATTGAGTGTTAAAAACAATACAGCATTAAATATTAAAAACTTCCCTAAACAGGGCTGCCTTCAGATGTCTTCTAAAAGTCTGGTAGTTGTTGTTCTCTTTGACTTCTGGTGGAAGGGCGTTCCACAGGGAGGGTGCCACTACCGAGAAGGCCCTCTGCCTGGTTCCCTGTAACTTGGCTTCTTGCAGTGAGGGAACCGACAGAAGGCCCTCGGTGCTGGACTTCAGTGTCCGGGCAGAACGATGGGGGTGGAGACGCTCCTTCAGATATACTGGACCGAGGCCGTTTAGGGCTTTAAAGGTCAGCACCAACACTTTGAATTGTGCTCGGAAACGTACTGGGAGCCAATGTAGGTCTTTCAAGACCAGTGTTATATGGTCTCGGCGGCCGCTCGCAGTCACCAGTCTGGCTGCCGCGTTCTAGATTAGTTGTAGTTCTGGTTAGAGTGGCTAGCGGAAATTGGGGGACCACCAGTGGTTACTTGAGAATGTTTAGGGGGATTTTAACCACCCCCAAAAAAACTTCCTGATTAAAATAACACAAAATGCTGGAGTCTCAGGGATTTCTTTGAAGTTTCTGCCACCTACGAAAGTGGCAAACTACTTTTGAGTTTAAATTGAAAATTGAAGATGAAAACTGCCTCGCCTGTGACTGCAGCAGGAGCTTCTAAGGATCACCTTCCAGCTATATGCTTGGTTTCCCCACATGAAGAATACAGCTTCATTAGATTGCAACTACAGAGAAGAATTGCAGCAGCTGAATTTTAACTGAGAGGTTGTTTCCGTCGTCCTGCCACTTGGTTTCTGAAAGATACAAAAATGTAATGATGCCCGCTCCCTCGGAATTTAAGCCTCTTTCCCATTTATCTGAAACGGGTGCCTCGCCCTTTCTCATGGAAACTGGTGAAATGGAAAGTGCTTAACGTTTGCTGGATCGTGCCCCTGGTTCACAAAACAAACAAACAAATTAACAGGGCCATCCAATACAATAGGACTATTCAGAAGTAAAGCATTAAATGGTACATACTGTTTTACATACGTTTTTATTGTACTGTGAAATTACTTTGAGATGCTTCATAGGAAGCGATTTGTAAATCAAATGCAGAATAGCAATGAATAATAATATAAGCTGATGATGATGATAAGAATTAATAACAACTAGGGCTGCCATACATCTGGATTTTCGCGGACATTACTAGGATTTCAAAGGCAGAATTGACGTCTGGGGAGACTTTTTGGCGTGTGTTTTTTTTGGGGGGGACCCTCAACAACTTTGGGGTTTGTCTAAAGAAAGCTCAACAACTTTGGGGGGTGTCCTGGTTTTAACTTTTAGAAATATGACAATCCTCTAATAACTGGACGTCCTTTCAAATAAGCATGCGCAGGATTGGAGCCTGAATCAGAATACAGTGGTACCTCAGGTTACATACACTTCAGGTTACATACGCTTCAGGTTACAGACTCTGCTAACCCAGAAATAGTGCTTCAGGTTAAGAACTTTGCTTCAGAATGAGAACAGAAATCATGCTCCGGCGGCACTGCAGCAGCAGGAGGCCCCATTAGCTAAAGTGGTGCTTCAGGTTAAGAACATTTTCAGGTTAAGAACGGACCTCCGGAATGAATTAAGTACTTAACCCGAGGTACCACTCTAGTTGTTGTCAGTTCAAGAGAGCTGAAGAATCACTGGGGCAGAATTACAGAAACCAGCAAGGGGGATTGTATTAAGCAAATGTATTTGTAAAACTGGGTTGTTTTAAGCCAGCCCGTGTGCCAGACATGTGCAACCTGAATTAAATATATAGTGACTGCTTTTCTCAGAATCGATAATTGCAAGTGAGACTGCATGCTACTATGTTTTATTTCACAGACACACACCCCCACCCCGCGTACAAAAAAAAATGGTTCTTAACAGCTTTCCTGAAGGCTATGCTTCAGCCACCTGCTGTTAAAGTTGTTGCCTTTATCTTAGGAAATTTCTTCTTGCGCAACATTAAAACAGACAAGCAGGCAGTCGGCGCACTTAGGGCTAGAATTTGTAGATATTTGAAAGGCAGATTTCCTGACGAAGGCTATAACTTTCTGCAAACATCCTTACAGCAAATGGAAATGTGGGGGAATCTTGCAGCCTCTCTCTTTGGAAAGGGTCTCTTCCCTACCCACCAGCTTCTTGTCTGAAATCAGAATCGTCTGCTTTGGAGGCAAACCCAGTTGATATTGTTTTTTTGATAGACTAGTGCCTTGGCTGGTGGCCACGTGACTAGGATAAGAAGGGAGAAAGAGGAGAAAGAAGGGAAGGAGGAGAAGTTGCCTTTTACTGGGGTGCTGGGAAAACAGTTATCTCTGTCATTTGCATTTAAATATGATCCGTCGGAATCCATCTCATCTGCATCAAACAATCTTCGATGAAGGCAGAGTGTGTGTTTATCCAATCCCAACTTTTCTGGGTTGGCGTGCAGACACCACAGATGGCAGTAGGCAATGGAGAGGCAAAAGGCAATACAGAATTACCGTATTTTTCGCTCTATAAGACGCACCAGACCACAAGACGCATCTAGTTTTTGGAGGAGGAACACAAGAAAAAAAAAATTCTGAATCTCAGAAGCCAGAACAGCAAGAGGGATTGGTGCGCAGTGAAAGCAGCAATCCCTCTTGCTGTTCTGGCTTCTGGGATAGCTGCGCAGCCTGCATTCACTCCGTAAGACACATACACATTTCCCCTTACTTTTTAGGAGGGAAAAAGTGAGTCTTATAGAGCAAAAAATACAGTAATATCTGGATCTGTCTTAGTCACACATAGTCTATCCTGCATCCTCTAAATTAGCTTCTGCCCTCAGGTGCAGTGGCAGATTTTGTCTAAATCCTCACCGTACATTTCAAGCAGTCTCATATTCCTTGAACAGTCATGGTTCCCCCTACCCAAAGAATCCTGGGAACTGTAGTTTGCTAAAGCTTCTGGTGGTTGTTCGGAGACATCTATTCCCTCTTGAAACTAAGAACAAGACCCAGATAGCCCTACCACTCTAATGCCCCCCTCTTTTTTGTTGCAAGAAAACATTTTGGTTTAGTGAGGTGAGAGGGCGTTTCTACCCATCTGATTTCTTTCAGATGCTCTTGTTGGTAAAAACCCCTCAAGGGTTTGCAATGCATTTCACAGGAAACTTTCAACAAATCTATTTAAAAACATTTCTATACTACTCAATATTTAAAAGTCTCTAAGTGGTACACCGAAATACAGCATAAAAACAATGTTTTTGTGGCAAGGGGGCAAGGCTTTACATATTGGAAGCAAGATGCTAGACTGGTTGGACCTGGGTTGCTGTAGCAAGGTTCTTTTTTAATGTTCTTAAGACGGGCTCTGAAATAGAGTAAAAACTATGTGACTGCTAGGAATCACAAATGAAGAGGGCACTGTTGCAGACAGATCCTGCTTTTAGGCCAGTGTGGGGTAGTGGTTAAGAGTGGTGGACTCGTAATCTGGTGAACCGGGTTCGCGTCTCCGCTCCTCCACATGCAGCTGCTGGGTGACCTTGGGCTAGTCACACTTCTTTGAAGTCTCTCAGCCTCACTCACCTCACAGAGTGTTTGCTGTGGGGGAGGAAGGGAAAGGAGAATGTTAGCCGCTTTGAGACTCCTTAGGGTAGTGATAAAACAGGATATCAAATCCAAACTACTCCTCCTCCTCCTCTTCTTCTTCCCATGGGAATGTGATTGGCTACTGTGAGAACAGGTTGCTGGAATAGATGCAGACCCTCCAAGTGTCCCTGTTTTCCAGGGACAGCCCCAGATTTACAGAAGCCACCCCAGTTTCTGAGTTGATCCCAGAATGTCCCACTTTTCCTTAGGACATCCCTATTTTCA